ATACACACTCCCTACTCATTTTTGGCTCCTTGAAATACAATGTCCTTCCATTTCCTCAACCTTATTCAGGACTTGTTGGCTAGAGGACCTATTTTTATTTGATTTTTTTTAAAAGCTAGAAGTGGCTCAAAGATGCACACTCAACATGAATACTAGATGTAAACAAAGTGGCAAAAACTCTCAAAATGCACAAGAAATTCCTGTATCCAAGAAAAATGACGAGGAGATAAGAAAAGCGTGCAAAAAACCTGGTAAATTGAAATAGCAAAACGGGAACAAAAAACTGATAAGGACAAAGTGAGACCCTGTATACAGTCAGGGTTCAAATCATGAAAACGGTGCCGGCGTTGACGGTTAATTAAATGAGGATCCGACGTGAAAAGGAGGCGGAAAACACGACGAATGAAATCAAACCAGAGTGAAAGAAAGCGCTGCAACAAACAGCCAAGACAATGTCATCAACATCCAAACAATTATCTGTAGTCCATGGCATCCACAGTCTGTTCCTATTTGGAACCACACCAAAATTCAAATCTGTTATTTTGATGGTGCAAGAAAATAAACATTTATCTGAGACGTAAACAAATTTTTCATTCTACGCCAAATGAAATTGGTTTTTATAAATGTCTCAGTTGTTGCTGCTGGGTATGAATAAAGGCCGATTTTTGCCCTTTGCTGTGTCTTGAACTCGTACAAGACCCCTGCGGTTAACTTAGTTTAAGACTTTTTATTTTCTTCTTGCCTAAACTCGATCAAAACCTTTTGCGTTTTTGACAAAAACACTTGTAGCGATCTCGCTCCTGAAAAGAGGATTAACAGTCTGATGCTCACACCTACACACACATGCATGTGTTCATCTGTTTGACTGAATAAAGCAATAATTTGTTTGTCTCTGCCCACGCAGGCCTATACAGAGTTTATTGCTTCTTACGACGCTTTGTGCAGACCCAAGTAAAGACGTACATAAGAATGATTTATGTCAGCAGCGGCACACACCACATTATCCAAGCAGAACCCATGGCTTCTGTGATTCAGTGCTTCTTCTTCTTCTTCCTCTCCTTTTTTTTGTTTTCGTATTTGTTTTGAATTTCCCTCAGGACAGTAAAATGTCACGACGCCTGTAATATGTTGTCCAAATGTTGGTTTGCTCACTCTGACTTTAACAGTAATGAATCAAACTGGTGACACCAGGTTTTTTTGTTTTTTTTTTTTGTTTTTTTTAGCATAATCATCTTCACATGAACATGCAAAGAAATTGCTGAGCTTTGCATTGGGACTAAAATAAAGCTCATTAGTTTGGAAATTGTTTGATGGTTGCATTTTGTGAAAGAGATGCTGCTGAAGCATAATCAAAGCACCTAACTTGTCTATATTGAACTAAAGTTACATCTAAAGTCCAAATGTAAACTTTCTTGACAAATATAACAAATACATCCTGTAGGACTTTTCAGATGCTTTGAATAGAGAAGAATTTTACATACTGGGATTTGACCGGAGTTCAAAGAAAATTAGGTTTTTCTTTGTGGACTTCCGTCTCAGAGCTGTGTTTTGTCCTTTCTGGTCATCCAAGAATACATCATTCCAACCCTGATACACACTCCCACACACGTGCACACACACAAAGCTGCCATGCAGAAAGATCAAATGCCAAGTAGAGCTGGAAGGGGGTTATCCAGAGAAACACTGACTTAAGTCATCATGCTAACCTGGCGATATATTCAGGGGCCACAAAGACACACAAAAACTCATCTGAGAGAGAGAGAAAGAGAGAGGGAGAGACAGAGAAAGAGAGAGAGGGGTTTCTGTCATCTGAAACTGGAGTGGACATGCTGCACGTCTAGTGCCGCATCATTTCTCATTTTCCCTTTCCCGCTTTTATCAGTTTGCAGCTGGAAACTTTGCAGTCCGCGTGCTGAACGCCACCGTACACATCTGCATGCACACAAATGAGCAAGAGTTCAGATTTTGCACGCAGCTTGTCCCACGTTTTCAGCTGTTTGGGTGTGCAGCGTGAAAAAGGACAGATAATTGGGTTTATCACAGGCATATTTTTAGTCCCCGTTTCTCCACACACAATTTACAGAAGAACGCAAAAGAGGAGAAGGAAACTGCAGGGAGAAAGAAAAAGAGGAAGGAAAAGGAGAAGATGACAGGGGGGAGGGGGGTGAAAGATGTTATACAGGGTAGAAAGAGATGGGAAGGAAAATGAATCGCAAAGATGGAATCTGGCACGTGTTCAAGTTTTGTGGAGTGTGTGAAGGAAATGCTGTTCCCACCCTGAGGCAGTATGCAGGTTGACAGATCTGACGCGCCCTCTGGTTTACCGCAGGATGTGTGGGTGGTGGTGGTGTGTGTGTGTGTGTGAGAGAGAGAGAGAGGGACGGTGGGGGTAGAAGGAGTGGGGGGGGAGGGGGTATGTGCAGGGGTCCAAAACCCTGCTTATTAAGGAGAGCAACCTTAGCCAACGTAAGCAGCACGGGGATCTAAATTACCCAGCGTGATTCAGACGTCAGCTCACACTGACAAACAGTGGAAGGCATGGAAATCTAAATCTCCTGGTCGCTGTGTGGCATCAAGCATCAACATCGACTCCGGGGCAAAAAAAGAGCAAAAAAAAAAGTATCTTGAAGCAAAAAAAAATTTTTTGATTTCTATCTGTAATTCAGTTTGGACATTGTTTTAGGAGTGGTCCAGAATAAAACCTCAGACTCAGTGATATTCTCTTTTTTTTATTTATTTTGGAGATCGCAAGTTGAGCCCAATGCTGGAAGGGACATGTAGTGTCTCCTCCCAGTCATCTGAAGGGAGGTAAGCATCAAAGCCGCCTCCATTCTGCAGCTCCTGCCGTTGGTTTCCCATGCAGCCATTTGAAGGAAGACAAAATTAGGCTTTTATGCTTTAAACTTTAAGCACTAAAATGCACTTTTATGTGTTTTTGACTCATGTGGAGTTAAAAATCGAATTCCTTTGTTCCAAAATTGGATCAGTGATTTTCAAATATTATTGAAAAAAACTTGGAGATTATTATTTTTTTCTATCCTTTTGAGTTTCGTTAACTTCCACTTGGGCAAACAAATTATTTAAAACCCTTCTTTTTTTTAAAAAAACTTACATGACACTTTTTGTTTGTGCTGCAGATGCCAAGAAGATGAGTGACAATGTTTAAGGTTTTTATGGCTGAAGTCATCTTCTAAAAAAAAACAACAAAAAAAACACACACACATTGTTAGTTTTCCCCTTGCTTTTCAGAGATTCCAATAAGACAAAACATAAACTACTTTATTAAAAATCGCTGCCATAAAATAATTTAAAGAGGAAATGCCAGATGTACTTCCACGTCTTGTTGCAACAACTGTGGCTTCCTCTGCTGTTACAGGTCAAATTTGACTTATCACAGACAACCAACTATTACATCCAGTTTCTCAAACATTTTTACGCTAAAGAAGACAAGTGTGGAAAAACGCGCCTTATTTCCGTGGATAAATGACACAGGCGACAATTTGCCAACTCAAACAGAATCGCAACGTAGTAAAAGCAACAATCTAGCGTCTGAATCCGACCTTCACCGACACGCGGCATCAAAGATCTGTCGGTGTCCTTCCCCTGCCAACCTTATGCTGATATCAAACACACTTACACACACAATATATACGAACGCACAGACCTAGAGGGGCCACAGTAAATATGCGGCTGGTCGATAACTGTCCACCAGAGCAGAGACTCGTAGTTTTTTGCTGATGTGCTGCCTTCAGGTCAGAAATCAGTGCTCCACTTTTGCTGAGATAAAGAATTTGGGCCCTTTAAATCTTACCAGGGACCATTGTGTGTGTGAGTGTGTGTTCATCCATGCAATAGTGCGTTAAAAGTAACTGTCTGTCTTCAGGGGGTGCTCTGAGATAGAGAGTGTCATTATTTTCACCATAGAGTGCCTCCTGGTTAGCCGATTGGGTTCATGAATTGGAAAACGGACGCTCGCAGACTCACAAAGGCACTCGGCTTCAACGGAGCAAAGAGCATTTATTGTGTTTTGTCGATTCCAACTCACTGCCTCGGCCATTAACACGCTTTTTGAACCTAAAGACCGAGCAGGATAAACCCAGGAAGCATACGTCTACAGTGTGAAAACAGCTCTACACACACATTCACAAACCCTCACACACACAAGCTGACTGACGCTGACGTTTTCAGTCAAAACCTGCACAAAACAACTGCAGGAATGTTAAAGGCAGCACACCACGTGCCTTCGCTTTCGTCGCTTTATGTTCGATTTTCTAAAGTAAGAATGTACCTTAGCCACTTTTTGCCGACCTCGTCAGCCCAAAGGTGAGCACTGAACACATCATTCAATGTCACCTTGTCACAACTCATACTTACAGTCTGTAGAAATTACCTCATGACATAATGTGCCCTTATTTCTCACCCCCAGGCTCTTAATGTGACAGCAGCTCTTCTACATTTACTCTGCTGTCAATATTTAACACCAAAGAAGTGTTGGCAGATGTGAAACCTGAAGATGAAAAAAACTCTGCACGTGTCACACAGCATGTTAGGATGGAGTGTTGTTCACAAAGAGGGACTGTGATTTAATCATAAATCTTATCAAATGAAAATCTGTCATGCTTGAGTTTTACACATGGGACGCTTTGAACAAATGACATAAAGTAAAAACATTTTGTCTGCACATTATTGTAGAGTTTCAACACAGATTTGTTTTTATTCAACTTATTTATTTATATTAGAACACAGTTAGTGTGGAAAATCTTTTGAAATTCATTCATCTTATTTTACACGTGAAACATCACATTGTTCCTGTGTGTACATTTGCTATCGTTCCAAAAAAGTGGATCTACCCTCTGTAAAAGTAAAAAAAACAAAAAACAAAACGGAATAGACCCTCGCCAAACTTCTTCTGTCTTTAATGTGACAACTTGTTACATTAAAATGTGCCGCGCACACGTCAAATCATAATTTCTGTAGCTTCAGCTTCAGAAATTATTTTGTAGATGTGAAACATCCTGATTTGGCAGCAGTCCCTCACGCCACCTTTCAGGTTTTCTATCTCTGTCAGATGACAGACACATCACTTTTGTTTGGATGTATACGTTCAGTCTCTGTGAGCCTGAAAGCTAAAGTTGCTCATTCCTAAGCTCGCTGGCTAAAATCTGTAATGTTGGGTAAAAAAAAACAACAACAAAAAAAAACAACTTGATTGGGTTTCATCCACCTTGAGGAAAAACCCAGTTCAATCTGAAGAAAGTGACCCCAAATCACAAATCAGCTTCCAGCATGTTTCCAGCACTTTTTGTCATGTAGTCTTTCGGGGAAGTTTTCCTGAGTCCTCTCCAAGTTTGTCTGACAGGATTTTTGATATAGCATGTCAGAAAAAAATAAGACAGACAAAAAAAAAAAAAAAAAAAAAAGAAAAAAAAAAAAACCCAGCGACGGAGACCAACAGCAGAACAAGTAACATCCAAAGTAGGACAGACGATGGAAATGAAGTGCTCTCTAAGGGGACGGTGGAATAATAGTTTTGTAAGAAAGAAAGAAAGAAAGAAAGAAAGAAAGAAAGAAAGAAAGAAAGAAAGAAAGAAAGAAAGAAAGAAAGAAAGAAAGAAAGAAAGAAAGGTGAAAAAGACAGTGTTCCAGTTGTGCGTCAGTAAATATTGGTTTGAATGGAGTGAGTAGAGGAGAAATAACTATCCGCTGCTTACGTGTTCAGAGAGTCTCCATATGAACAGCGCAGCAGATGGCTTCACAAGAGCCTCAGTGTGAATATACCAGTCTGTCTTTGACTTGAACCCAGTCCAAACTTTCACAGTGGTTCAAAAACATCAAAATTTGTCCTGAAGTAGTCGTGCAGGTGTGTTCATCAACTGGACAGAGAAGAGGGTTGTAAAATCTGTCGTTCCTCTTGGAGGTGCGATCGAGCTGCTTCAATCCTCGCACAAGCACCGGTTCGCATTTAAAGTCCAACGTTGCAAATTCAACAAGTGCAGCAGGCTGCCCCGGTCAGGCCGAATGCACATCAGATCTGACCAGCAGCAGCCGAATTATGTTTGACAAGTGTTCAGCTTTTGATGCTGATTCGACTGTTTTCTCTTCTGCGCCACAGAAATCCTAGAAGTCTCCATATCTGCAGGGAGAAAAACACAGTGTGACGACTGCATTCGTGTCTCTATATAAAAAACATTTTATGCAAGAAAAAAAAAACACTTTGAGTTAGATATTCCTGGGAGTATTTTGATATAAAAAAAAATGTCTTGGATGGTATTGTTTGAATGTTTTCTACTGAGTTGCGAATTAAATATTAAATATGACAATTACACCTGCGAGACTTTTGATTCTACCAAAACATTAAATGTTTTAGGCTGTTCTTCTTTGCTTCTTCAACTGCTTTGATCTTTTGTCAACATCAATTGGCTTTAGGTCTGGACTTTGAATGACATGATTATATATTTTATCTAACATGTTTCTCTGTCCAGCCTTTCTGTCTAAGCTGAAGGGAAGAATCTGCACAGCCTGGTGCAGTGTTAGCCTCCCTCCATCTGTATTGTTTGGCATGTGGGCTGAAAAGTTCCAGTTTGTCTAATTTGAAAGCATCCCGTTCTTCGCTTTTATCGCACACACTCCATAACTTCTTGCAAATATTAGATTGAGTCTGTTTTGTTTCTCCGTCAGCGGCTTTCCTCCTGCCTCTGTTCCATGAAAGACAATGTTTTTTGTTGTTTTATGTAAAACCTTGCTCCTACTTCAACAATTGTGTAATACTGACCGTCGATTCATCACATGACACTAACGAAAACACACTGAATGTTGCGTATGGAAACATGACAAAGTGCGGAAAGAAGCAACAGGTCGAATACTTTGGTAAGGCGCTGAAGATGGCCGACAAGAAATGTTTAACAATATTGGAAACCATGTGTCAAATTCATCGTTATGCATTCATAGTCCATCCATATGCAACTTTGCAACAATTATAAGTCATTTTCATTCCTTCATACCACATCGGTCATAACATGGATTACCTGAAGAAATAAATATTTAGAAATCAGTGGGGAAGTTAAATCTAATGATGAACTGTTGCTCACTTCCAAGAGTCAAAACACTTTGTTATTTAACGTGATTTTAAGTCATTTTAACTGGAGTCTTTGGTAGTTAGAAATTATGTCAGGGTTCATCTGAATGAGTGACTGGCCTGACTTACTCTGTGTCATCAGCTGCGGGCGTGTTGTAGCTCTGGAAGAGAGGCTGCATGAAGAGTCCCAGAGTTCCCACCACACACACCAGGATGAAGATCCAGAGAAAGAGGCGATCTATCACCATGGCAACGTACTTCCAGTCCTCAATGATCTGGAAGCCATAACGGAAAGTCAAAAGTCGTGATAGGTTCATTTTACCGTAATCCGTATGTTTTAAACCAATCACCCTGAAGCCACTTTTTTAAATATATGTTTGCACCAACAGTTTGTCTGTTTTCAGCACAACTGGAAAATACTTGCTAGAAACATTAAAGTCTCTTTGGAGAAGTTTGTAAGATCGGAAGAACAGACTAACAGGAGTTTGAACATCTGATGTTATGAAGGCTTTCAGGTCTGTTGCCAAAAATATGTTTAACCTTAAAACATATGACTGATCCAAAGAGGCTGTTATGAGTGACCGTGGCTGGAAAACATGCTGGATGAAAGGAAAGTTCAAAAACCCAAGGCCACAAAAAAGGGGTCAGTGCTAGCTCCTTGGTAAGTCAGCTTAGACGTGATAAAGACCAGATTTCTACTTTTATTTGACTTTCTGACCGTTCCAAATTAAAACAAAAGTTCACAAAGAGTCTGAAACTTTGAAAAGAAAAAAAATTACAGCATCTTGGAAAGGAATTGAGGCCTTCTGAACCTTTTACCGCTATGTTAAAAATATATTTCATTAGAATTGCATGTGATAGATTGAAATAGCATAGTGCATTTGTGAATTGAAAAGAAAATTACACGAGTTACAAAATGTTTAGAAGTGAAAACCTGAAATGTGTGGCAAACTTGTGGATTCAGCCTCTCTGGGTCGTTTCATTACTTTTTACTAAAATCACAGCAAATTTTTCGGATTTTGTCTCTAACTTTATAACTGTACTTTAAACTTTCCTATAATTTTTTTTTTAAATTTATATTTAAAAATTTCTTTCACCCCCCAAAAATGCTAGATGTATCCCAACTTCGCTTAATACTATTTTTTGTGGGATAGCCCATATAAATACATTGAGGCTGTGATGTAAAAAAAAAAATAGTTCAGGAAGTAGGAATATAATTTCAAGGCACTGTAAACACTGTGTATTTAGAGAGTCAGTCTTTTTCTATAGAGCTAATATATAACACATCAAAATCTGTTTTTTCTTCTCTCATTCACCTCCTCTTGCGCATCAAGACAGGGGCTAATGATCTAATGACGATTTTTATTCTATCTCTCCTCATTTCTCTGCATTTCGGCTCCTCACCCCTTCATTGCCGTCTTCCATCTTCATGTGTTCAGCGATGTATTTCACTCCATCCACTGCTTCTTCCAGCTCTGCATCCAGCTGCGCCGCTGTCGGCCTCCCAAAGTCGGGGGAGTCCCGGGCGTCGCCCGTCTTCCAGCAGCAGTTGTACGCCGAGTCCTCGTTGACGTAGAAAGAGTTGCAGTCTGTGGGGATTCCTCCCAGTCTGGCGTCGGAGTGCTGCCTCCTGCCTGCGCCGCTGTGGAAGCTGCTTTTGCTGACGGGGCTCCTGCTGGAGAGCCTTTTGCGGAGTTTATTGTGGATGCTGGAGGAACCCGGGCGTCTCATGAGCAGGAAGGTCGCGAGGCGAACCAAGAAGAGGTGCTTGACCCAGTCTGGCATGTAGTGAGTAGACGGGGAGCGGTGATGCACATTGAGGACACAGGCCGTGCTGACGATCGAGAATGTGACCAGCACCATGGTGAACATCAAGTATTTGCCTTGAAAATATTCAGAAAAAGAGAAAGAAGGGGGAAAACAAAGACATATTAGTACATCTACTGCACACTAATGTGTGGGTCGAGGGCTGAGCTTCTCAACCCACACCGCATCATTCCTAGCTGACAGAATTCATAGACTTTAAAACATGAGTTATTTGTACATAATTAAAAAGTAATTATCTCTAACAACATAAATCCTACGTGTGTTAAGCTACAGGGAGTTAGCTCGTGAACAAGTCACTTTGAATGTCATCTAGAAAACCTCATTTCAGTATTTAAGAAGTGACTATGTTAAATTTTCTCCAATTACGGCAGAAAATAATTCCCTGATGCTTTCCAGAAAAAAAAAACAAAAAAAAAAAAAAACACTATGGGTATAACATCTGGAGGATGTTTTAAATTTCTCTTTAAGAATCAGCTGTGCCTCCATTTCCAACATTAGTGAGCTTTTTCTTTCTCTTTCTTGTTCTCCTCTTTAAGAAGAGCAGGAGCTTCTTAAAGAGACAGAGGCCCAATTTCAAAGTGTCAAATTACAAAGTCAAATTTCTTCTAAGTTACGTTTTTTTTATAACAACTGACGGTAACATAGTTACTTGACCGTGCTTTACAATGGAATATGTGCCTCAAAAATACATGAAACTGCCGCTGTAGAACTCTGCAAAGGCCGTCCATGATCTGGAGGAGTGTCAAGACTGTGGTGTTGGTTTAGTCAGGTGCAAAACACAGATAAGGTTTCTCTTTGCTGAAGTCAGTGCTTCTAAAAACCTATAAGAATGTAAAGTTTTCAGATTACTTTTTTAACACATCAAATTTTCACAGATGATAATTTGTTTTTTACAAAATCAGAAAAACAAGTGTTGTCTGGCCTTGAATCAGCCCCGCGAGCAGCAAACAAACGCAAACTTCACAGACCTATGAGTGGCACCGCCAGAGAGGTGGGCGGCACGATCTTCGATATCAGGAGCAGGAACACGGTGAGGGCCAGCAGCACCGAGATGCACAGCGTCATCTTCTCCCTGCAGTCCGAAGGCAAGTAGAACACCAGGATGGCCAGCGACGTGATCAGCACGCACGGGATGATCAGGTTGATGGTGTAGAACAGAGGCTTCCTCTTGATGACGAAATCGTAAGTGATGTCGAGGTACGTGATGTCGCTGGGGTCCTCGTTTTTACGTGCCGGGAGCGAGACGATGTCCCACTCCCCGCTCGGCGTGAAGTCGTCCCGGCTGGCGAAGTCGCTGGTGAGGATGAGGTCCACCTCCGTGTGGTCGTACGTCCAGGAGCGAAACTTGAGCGTGCAGTTCTGCTGATCGAAGGGGAAGTTCTGCACCTCGATGGAGCAGGCGGACTTGTAGATGGCTGGGGGGAGCCAGAAGATGTCGCCCGTGTTGGAGACCACGGCGTTGCAGTAGAAGGAAACTTCGTACACTCCGTCGGCACTGTGACACGTTCAGAGATCGGGCCATGAATATTCAACAGCGAGCAATCTGTCGATTCAACAGTACGGCCACGGTGATCTAACGTCTTCACTTTTTCTCTGCGCCTTCAGCTTGTTTTTATCAGCTTACGTTTTCCACCTTACTCACTTGTTGTAAAGCACTATGTCAGGAAGCCAGATCATTTTGGAAGGGATTCGCAGCTTTTTGATGCCTTCATATTTTCCCGGGTCCCATCTCAGTCTGTAGTCATTCCATTCCTACGGAAAGAGCAAACGCTCTTATCAGCGAACCAAAAAATATATGAATTGAGATGCAGACAGGGAATTAGAGAAAGACTGCGGAGTACCTGAAACAGCCACACATTGGTGGTCATGATCTGCTCCCTCTCATTCTGCAGAAACAAACAAAAAAACATTGATTGGATTTCTGCCATATTTTAGTTTATCTGGTCAACTTTAAGCACGTTTTAGCAAAATATGTGAAAGACACCAAAATACCATATTTTTCAATAGTTCAATGGTTTAGTAGAGTAATGTAGAGTTTCTAATAACTTAACTATACGCTTATTCACGCTGTTTCACAGCAACTGTTTTCTAAGTTTAGGTCAGAATCATGAAACATCAATGATGTCTGGGAATGATTTCTCAAACTTAAAATAAATGATTTCCTTAATTATTAAAAGAAATTAAAAATAAGATAGTATATTTGCGGACACGTTGTGCTAATGCTCTTGTTCAGTTGGTTTTTAATTAATGTTTTGTACATTACAACCACAGGTAATCAGACAATCAAACAGATGAGAGAAAAACTGAACTATTTGATCTGCATGCAAAGCATTTTGAATAAAGGAATCCTATTCCGCACATTAGGCTGAGCTCATCATGCCAACAAGGAACACAGAGACAGCATCAGGTAGTCTGTATTATATTCTTTGGGCCTTCTAAACGTGTTCATGATTTAGAGGGCCTCACTTTCCACCTGAAGATCACTGTTAGCAGAAGTTCTCCATCCAATCTCATCCCTTTGCAAAAAAGGAACATGCAGAAAATGTAATCTCTAGATGAGCAAGGTTGGTAAAAAAAAATAAATAACAAACAAACAAAAAAAACGTTTCAAAATAAAATAGCCACGTCACAGCCCAGATGGACCATCAATGAATCGTTCAGTTTTACAAAACCCCAGACGTCCAACTAAAACAATATGTCTGCAAATTCTGCCTTGTATTCTCGTAAGTTCTTGTTCTGCATCGAGTTTGCAGCTCATCCAAAAATCAAATGGTGCTGTAGCTGTTCGACCTCGACACGTCAGTCACGTATCACCGGGAAGACTCAGAGAGACGGGCAAGAAGACTCACACTTGTTCCCAGCTGGCAGCGACTTCAAGCTGTCACTTCATCTAACCCGCAAGCCTTTTTACTGAGACCCTGTGATGCAGAGTTTGAATGTTTGCATGATCACATCACATCTCCATCATTATTTACTGTTTTTTTTTTTTT